GCAGGCAGCCCCAGCCCTCCCCATTCCCCAGGAGGACCCCAGTTTTACTCCTCCCAGAGATGGACCTGGGAGGTGGAAACTGGAGCCTATTGGACCTCATCCTCACGGCACTCTCCTTTTTCCCTCTTTTTTCTCTTCTTTTAATTGCTCAGCACCGCCGTTGTCTCCTCACTGTCCTTTGAGACCTACAAAGCATTTCCTGCTCGTGGTCACTTCTCTGTGCTGTATCTGTTTTGTGTTGAGCTAATTAAAATGTTTCCTTCTGCAGAGCAGGGTGATCTGCCTTACCCCGTATCCAGACGCTGATCCTCGGGGCATGACTCTTTTTGTTTTCACTGAGAATGTCTGTCTTCATTTACATCACCCGTTTAACCCTTGCAGTGCCGTGGCCTTCCGAGGGCCTGGCCCACAGCCCAGAAATGGTGGGATTCACCCCAAGCTTCTCAGCAAAGTCTGCGTTATTTTACTCTTGTAAGAGGAACAGTTTTGCTCGCAAGGAAACCTTAGGCTGATGATGGTGGACTGTAGGAATGCTGCTCTTTGGACTCTTGATCTCCCCTTAGCAAGAGGCTCATGCTTTAATAGAATTGCTAGGTGCAATGGAGAGCGTGGTAAAGAGGCTTTGATAAGAGGAAAACCTTGATGAGAAGCTGCATTGCCCTCTGGGTCAACGCTTGGAGATTCACAGGTTGTTTTCACTCAGAAGCAAAAGGTGGTGCTGGAGGTGGCTGTGCCTTTGATGCAGCCCTGTTTATTTACAAAGCGTGGTTAAGGGAAAAAAAAAAATAAGAGTCCTGTTTCCCTGAATCCAACAACGGGACTCGGTTTAGTTGCTTATGCTTCCAGAATGCCTTCCAGTCAGCACCCAGCCCCACAGCTTCCTTTCTTTGCCTTTGGACACCACTTGCAAGTGCTCCCAGCTGCCCTCCCTGGCCCTGCAGCATGAAGCCCTCCTTTCACCCCGTGCCATGCCCACTGTCTTGCTCTGCACTGCTTCCTCCGCACTCCCTTTGCTCAAAGCACTGTTGAACGTTCACCTCTGTTTATCCAAAAAACATGGGCTCTTTTTTTTTTCCTTTGCGTGCATTAGCATCAATGTAGCTCATCCAGCTGCCAGCACTGCAGCACAGATGCCTGTTTCAGCTTTTGCAAGCTCAACCTGAGTGCAAGAGCAGCTGATTTCCTTGCAGGTCTGCATCCATGGGAATTAGCAGGGCAGGAGGCAACCTGTGCATGGCTCTAGTGTGAGGATTTGTGCCCCGCATTCATGTACTGGATGGGGTACATCAAACAGGGCTTTGTTCTCTCTAATTGCATTATTTGGGGTGTGAAGGATGGTTTGAGGCTCCATTCTGACGGCGGGTGTGGGAGGCTGCAGCCTCATCTGCTCCATCCATCCGACTGCCCTTCTCAGCAGCTCACACTGAGCCACCCCTTGGTGTGCAGAGTGAGGCAGCACCACGTGCAGCCGTGCCACAGTGCAGAGCAATGGAGCAACATGCTGCACCTGTGTGTGGAAATAAATGTGATACCAGCTAAAAAGAAGGGCTTCATATTTGGCTAGTAGGTGCATAAGGTGATGTGGAAGCGTGATGCATGGAGAGAGAGCAATCTGCTGCGCTGCTATGTTGCTCAAGGCTTAGGGACCAGTCAGTGCCTTTCAATTTCACTTGCTAAGATCAAGAGACCACGTTTTCTACAAAACCAAGCCAAGCTGTTACAGATGATTCCGAAACTTTCCTTGCAGTGAGGGTCAACTCAGGCTAATTTGGCTCTGAGGCTGCGTGCATCTTTACCACCTCTTGTGGGACCGAGCTCAGAAGATGGCGCATTAGAGGAAACCTTGCAGAGCCACTGTCTGTTCTTGGGAATACAGAGATCCTCTTTTCAAGGAGAGAATTTGCCTTTTGTACAACGGGCTCCCCTTCCCTGAGACTAAATCAGGTCCTTATTTATGGAGGAGGTGCAATGTGGGAAGGAGCAGAGTCTGTGCGTGCATTTGACCTGGAAAGACCTCCTGAGGGCTGGATGTGAGCTCCAGAGCTGTCCTCAAGCCCCAGCCCCGTGGATGGGGTGGCTCACTGGTGTCTTGCTTGTGACCCTGGGCCATGAGACTGAGACCAGTTATCCACATACAACTGGCCAGCAGCACTCAGACAGCAGTGAATGGAGGTCCAGTGATACAGCTTGGGCCAAAGCTAGCTGCAGCCTGTACAGATGCATTAGAAATATCAGCATACAGTGAACATGATCACTGAGAACCTAGTCCATTGACTCAGGAAATCTTACACCTTTCCTACCCAAAGCCATGGGGTTGGACTCCATGGTCTTTATGGTTCCCTTCCCACTCGAGATGGTCTATGATTGTACCCTCCTTTGCTGCTCCCTTTCCCTGGGAGCTGGATGAAGCTTTGGCTGAAACTGCCTTAATTCCTGCTCCCATGTGAGGCTACAGGCAGAAGGAGGGTAACCATCTTACAGCAGGGAGTGCACCCTCCCCTGCTGCAGGGCCTCGCTGCAGTTAATGGAAGGCACAGTTCTTTCCATTTGCTGTCTCACTGCAACACTCTGCAGTGCAAGTGAGCGGATAACAGCATTCAGGCATTGGTTCTGTTTGTCTGTGTCCAAGTACAGCTCATAGAATCATACAATTATTAAGGTTGGATAAAACCTCTAAGACCATCTATTCCAACTGCCTCCTTACCACCAATACTGCCCACTAAACTACGTCCCTAAGTACTACACCTTCCCTTTCTTTAAATGCTTCCAGGGCCAGTAACTCCACCATTCCCTGGGCAGCCTGTGCCAGTGCAACACCACTCTTTCTGAGAAGCAGTTCTTCCTCACACCCAACCTGTCCCTCCACATTGCAACTTGAGGCCATTCCCTTTCGTCCTCTAGCTGTTACCTGGGAGCAGAGGCTGATCCCACTTCGACACAACCTCCTTTCAGGAGCTGGAGAGAGCAGATCCACAACTTAAAGAAAGCTTCAAGCTGTAGAGAGCAACTTCCTCTCTCCAGAATCTAATGGCTGATTTCTATCAGCTGCCCTAACCCCAGCCAGGCAGGAGTCTCATTTTCAGTCTCAAAGGATTAAAATGAAATGCAGCTCAGCTTCCCCCACCCTTCCTCCCTCCCATGTTTTCAGGAGTGTCTTTCGAATTGAATAGGCTTTGAACCCCCTGAAATAGCAAGGTTAGCTTCCTGCCAGTTTTATTTTGGCTTTCAGTAAGGGAAAGAAGATGAAAAAGTGCTATGGGGGGGGGAATATCCTTATCACCAACATGTGAACTTTGCACTTCCCATCGCGTGGGTTTTACCATCCTGCTCGGACAGGAGAGCAGTGCTGCAGCACACAATTGTCCCCTCTTAAAGACAGATTAAGGGCTCTCATTTAAAACAAACAACAAAACAATCCTTGCAAACCCTTCTTCATACTCTAAGTCCTATTGCTTCCAAACGGCTGTATCTTTAGGTTGTTGTAAGCATGCTACTGAGCATTCATTTCACTCCTGGCAGAGGTATTTTTATCTGCTCAGAGCTGTGCTCGATTTCTTTTTCCTGTGGAATTTTGCCACCGAGTTTAAAAGGAGTCAATTTGAGCCATAAATGGAAGCCAAAGTGAGAAATAAAACGCTGCACTTTTGCAGTATAAGAAATGCAACTCATTTCCTACTTTTTAATATAGCCTATAGGAACCAGGTCTCACAGCACGTTTATCACTGCAAGCTGGAAGCCACCTTTATACACAGCCCTTTCTTCAGCTCATATTCAAGCGTTCATACAACCCTGACTTCAAGCATTGAAACAGAACCCTCGGAATGGCAGATTCACAAATCTGCACCAAACGCCGGGGGGAAGGAAAAGCCCTCAACGTGTCAACTGCAGTGACACGATGGCAATTACGCTGTGACTGAGGACAGCTTCCCCAGCAGCAGTTGGGACACGGAGCTCCTCCACTCCTCCCCAACAGGTCAGAAACGGACAGAAACATTCATTTCTTCCGCTCAAATCACAGCACGGCTCTCGGAGGAAGATCGATCCGACAAAACACGGCTATTCCGCATTGAAACGCACCGCTCAGCGCCGCCTGCGAGCTTCGTGCCCGGCTTTGTCTGAGCTGGCAGAGTTCAGAAAAGGCCCCAATCATTTCTCGGTGCTGCGATGGGGATAGGAAGGCTTTGTGCCGAGCACTTACCGGGTTCGGACCCGTTCCTCGCTGCCGTTCCCCATGGATCCCCTCCGTGCGCTGCAGCCAGCGCCCAGCTATTCCCATGCGGGAGGGCTGCGCGCTCTCGCTGCTAAAACTTCGCCGTTCATCATTAAAATCCGGAGCGCCCGGCAGCTCTCAGCCTCCCTTTGTTCGGAGAGGAAACAGAACTGCTGGAGGCTGCGGCCATCGCGTCTCGGGAAGAACGGGCCCGACGTCTGCGCGGGGGTCTGCGGGCAGCGGGAGCTCTTGGGGGTCTCTATAGGAAAAGCTTTCCATTGGGCAGAGCCGAAGTATAGCAGGCACAGCCCGCCCCGCCCCGCACCCCCCTCGGGCTGCCCCTCGCTGAGCATCGCCCGGTGGAGGGGGGGGGGACCGGCACAGCCCGCAGGGCCCCGCGCCGGGGGGGACGCGCCTCGGAGAGCGGCTTCACCTCCTTGGTGCTTCCGATGAGGAGGGGGTGGTGGGAGCGGGGAAAGCAGCGGGAAGCTGCGAGGCAGCCCCAGGCGGAAAGGAAAAATCTTTCTAAAGGGATTTAGGAAGCCTTGTTGTTTTTGGTCGGGGAAAACTTCTCAAAAAGGTTGCCCGGAGCCCTCCGGAATGTCGTTCCCCAGCAGATTGCTCTCAGAGCCCCAGGTTCTGGCTGGAAAACCTGTAGGCTCTCAAAAACACGGGGACACAGCTACAAGCGCTAATTTCTGCAGGGAAAGCATCGCTTTCTCGTCGTTCAGCTCTCCCCGGAGCTGCCTTTGGGCAGAACCACTGCCTAAGGCTGTGCTTTATCTCTTACCTTCACTATCAGCCCTCCAGCCAGGACCGGGGATCTCCAGGCAGCAGCAGTGCAGCAGATGGCTGATTTGTCTCGGCCTGTTTGTGCTGCGGAGCAGCCAGTGCCCTTTTATTTCTCTTTCAGCCCTCTCCAGTTCCATAGGGTTGAAATCCTGAGGGCGAGTTTAAAGCCCAGCCTCCCATCTAGCGCGTCCCGCTCGCATTGTGTTTGTCTGTCCTTTTCCTCCGCTCTTCTTGGCCGTTCCCACAGGCAGCCAAGGCCAGTAAACAGCTCATTGTGAGGCTGGAACTAATGTTATTCCTCGGGCTGGTGGCTGATGCAGCGGGCTCTGTCTCGCTTCTGCAGCACGCCCAGCTGCCACGGGCTTTTATCCAGGCGACTCAAATAACTTCCTGAATATCTCATGTAACAGCCTCCCTGCAGCCTGCAAACCTCCGAGGTCCTCCAAGGGGTCACGGTGCTGCAGAGACCGTAAAAGGCGAGCGTGGATTTCAGCTGAAAACGCTGGAGGTGCAGATGTTTCCTACCCCTCGTGGTCAAAGGGGCATTTTTCCTCCATTTTTCCTCCATTTTTCCTCCATTTTTCCTTCATTTTTTTTTCTTTTTGGATGAGATGAGAGATGATCTGGGTATATTGCAAAGGGAGGCCGAAGGCGTCAGCCAGCGCTGTGCGTCACTGTGAATGTAAGGGTGGATGTAGGGGCTGGGGGGGTTGGGGTGCAGAGCCCACCAGAGTGAGCAGGCTGTGTGCTGGGCTGGCAGCCGGGGGCCCCTTGGAGGAGCAGGCTGGGCTGTGCCTTTCCCTTCTGATTCGAGTATTGCCAACTTTCCCCCATCCTTCCTAAAACTAATGGCAACTTGTGAGCAGCAGTCAGCTTTGGCCTTTTATGGCTTGTGGGCATTTTCCTGCTTTCAGGGCAAGCCTGATTGCTCGGGTATAATGCAGCAGTTTTGCAGCCCCTGGAACCCATTCTTATGTGGGTGTGAGTGCTCTCAGTGGGGACTGCTTAAACAACACGTCTGCTTTTGAAATCCCTCTGTTTAGGGGAAGAAGTGTGGCTTGGATGGTTTGAGGCTGGGTGTGCTGCGCCGTGATGCAGAATGAGCACATTGAAACCCTTTGTGGATTGAGGGACCAGTCCTGGGCAGAGCCATTAGGCTTGCTGTAGTTCTGCAGAAGCTGAAAGAGTGCCAGAATACCCTCAGATAAACACAGGATAAACCATGAAACAAAACTTTTGTGCTTCATGCAGTATTTGGCCAAAACGTGGACATCCATTGTGCCAACAGTGGATGCTGGTGGAATTGAAGCGAGTTGAACTGTACCTGTCCGGGGTGTTTGCTTTCTCTCTAGGAGTACTGGTTTAACTAAACACACCTAACAAAAGTCTTCAGCTGTTGTGAACTTCAAGGGCTCTCAGGGGCTCCTCCTGATAACGTACCTCTCACTCAACAGGAGATTGGGGTGGGTATTTCTGTCCTTTATGGCGATCGTCCTTCTGCCCGCTGCAGTGATTCCAACCCACTCCACCCAGGGTTGCCATTGGATTTCACAGCATCTTTAACCAGCAGGTGCTCCAATCACCTCCCTTTTGCTTGCTTTTGTGGATTTGGGGTTTCTTTCATGAAAAAGGAGCACCTTTTTCTGCCAGCTGCAGCCCAAACGAGGAGCCAGGCAGTTGTGCCTGTAGGCTGACCCACAGTGCTCCTCTTCAGCCTCAAGAGATCATTAAAAATAACGAATATAAAAATTCCCTTCTGGAATGCGAAGAGAAAAATAATGTCCCCAGAGCCATGCATTCCTGCCCCCATCCCCATCACAGAGCAATGCACGCCTTCAGCCTCTCTGCCACACCAGAGCAAACAGACCAAACGCTGTGCTGTGCGTGTAATCTGGATGTATCTTTTACAATGAATCAAGCACAAACACTCCCAACCAAGTGCCCTCACTCAGCATAGGTCTATTTGCCAAACATGAAGGACGGAGGTGGCTGCCTCTCTGCTTGGTTAAAGTTACAGGGAAGTGTTTTTCTTTAACGTGGAAAAACAATGAGCAGACTGCATGGCTCTTCATCTCCCTTCTCCACACTGCTCCACTGTTGTCTCCACCCTGGTCCCAGGGCGTTGGGCTCAGGCTGGGGATAGGGCGAGCTCTCCTTACAGCATTGGCAGCACACCAATAATCCCCAGTTATTTTGGAAAACAAGGCAGACAGGACTGTTATCTTGTTGGAAACTGTGGCTGCTGAGCTGGCATAGCATCTTGAAGCTGAAGTTTTACCCCGTGTTTGCACTCCTCTGACTTTCTGCTTGTGCACAGCTGGTATTTTGCTTTCTCTCATGCTTCTGGTTCTGTTGTGTCAGTGGTCCATGGCTGTGGCATACATTTCTATTGGTATGAGCCAGGCAGGAATATCTGAACTTTGGGAATAAATGAGCCCTGGTGAGCAGCATATTGCATTTCTGGCTGACTGATTCTTATCTCTTAAGCTGTTGGACACACTGACCATTTTCAGTCAATGGTGCTTTAATGTGCCAAGACTTCTGCTGCAGGGCACTTCTGAGCTCTCAGAAGGAGCCAGACAGCAGAAAGCAAAGACAAATATCAGATCTTGGGTGGTTGGACTAGATGATCTTGCAGGTCGTTTCCAACCTTGTGATTCTGTGATTCTGTGATCTGGAGGTTGGTACCTGGGGGAGAGAGCTTGGTGATCCTCGAGGTCCTTCCAACCCAGGCCATTCTATGATTCTATGATTTAAGGACCACTAGAATGTAAACTAAATATGAACATTTGCTTTTCCTCTTCCTCCTCTGCTCTTTGGCAGGATGTTTCCTTTCTCTGCTGTCTCTCCATCTCAGATGTTGTCACTTGGATGCTGAATGCTGCATGGCGTTGGTCTGTTGGGGTACAACAGTGTGCAGCAGTGGTGTGTGGCACGGGGAGCCCTCATGCTGCAGGGGGGGTCTGTGGCCAGCCTGCTGTTACCTGCAGTGTTCAGAATGAACCCTCCATGAGATGCTTCACCACACCAGAGGATCCTGCTTGGGGAAATGCAGGATCAACAACACTCTGCTGCCAAAATATCTGCCCTTTGAGCTTTCAGAATCTGATGGGTCAAAACACATTGCCCACAGGCAGCACATCCCTGTGATGTACCGTTTGCTCAGGCCGTGAGGCTTGCAGCTTCCTACCATCTCACCCTTCTGAAGCAGCAGCCTGAGGACAGCAGCTCCTGCAGAATGATGTCAGTGCTGGGGTGACCCCAAAGGAAACATCTGGATCATTGAGAAAGAGAAAAAGGTTCAACCCCATTCAAACAGAGAATTTCATTCAGATGGTCCCCAGGAAAGGAAAGGAAAGGAAAAAATTATTAATACTGATATTTACACGGGGGGGGGAAAAGTCACTTTGCAGAAACCACAGCCTCTGCTGAAGGAAAATTCCTGAGCACATCTAACAGAGCCATCAGCAGCTCACTAATGCTGCAGTGTTCACTAATGCTTAATAGTTTGTCAGCGTTTCCATTCGAAATCCTTTCTGAAGAGCTTCATGAGAAGGCTATAAAAATCAAATGGAAGCGCAAAGCCTCATCCTGTTTGTGTATTTGCTTTTAAATACACTTTTGGAAGGACACGGAAAACCATTTTCAATGCTGCAGGCAGATGAGAAAAAAAGCAAGTGCTCATTGGGATGGGTTTCCTTGCAGTCTGAAGGCTTTGTCTCTGAGCTGTGTCCTGCTAACTCGCTGCTGCTCGGAGCTCAGCACCTCTCCCATCCAGCAGGGCTTTGCTAACAAGCATCAGGATGATTCTATCCAATTGTTTGCTCAAATCAGAGCCGTCCAGGAGCAGGTGCTGCTGGTGGCAGAGCAGTGCTGGAGCATCCATCCCTCTGCCTGGAGCTGGCAGCCTTCTCAGCCCCCAAGCCTCAGGTTTGCTCCCATCCAAAGGAGTGTCAGATTAACTGATTAATCTGTGATTTATTTCTCTCATTCTCAGAGCTATCAAAGCGCAGCTGTTTTCATTCATGAGCCCTGAGGGCCGGCCTTTATTAAGTGCAATTAACTTGAAGTGAAGGCATTAGAACACGAGCTGCTGAAAAGTGTTTCATTGGGTAAAAAAGTGAAATGGAATCCACAGAGAAGGAAAGTAAACCAAAATCCATAATGTTGGCTGGGTCACACAGAGACCTCTGGCAGCACCATTTCCCCGAGCCTGCATGTCTCCCCAAACCAGACATCTTCCCCATAACCCTTTGCTTCCCTTCTCGTTGGCATCCCCACTAAGCCAGGAGCTCTTTTGGGTGGTATCTTCCTCTTTGCTCTCTGTGTTTCCCAGTAGCTCAATGGGGCTCTTCCAAGTGTGTCCCAGCAGCTTCAGAGCCTTTCATTTTTCTTGTCAATGCATTCATTTTGCAGACTCATTACTCGTTTTTCCCCGTTGCACGAAGCGATTTCCAGTTGCGTGTGACCAACCCTTGTGCATGAAATCTCCCTTGAGGAGCTGCATCCAGCAGAGGTTTGGCACACAAGAGCTGCTCCAGGTGGGAGAGAAACACCCAGGGAGCCTCTCCTGCAGGCTGAGCTCGGGCACAGATTCCGTCCTGCTGCAGTGTGCGGTCTGGATGATTCTCTTTGCACAGTTCAGGGAACTGGCTGTCAGCTCTGCGTGCTGTGGCTCCAACAAACGGAGACGCTGCTGTTTGGATGAGGGACACCAGCAATGCCAAAATCTTATCCCCTGTGCCGCAGGGACACGAGGAGCTGGCGATAAAACCCCAGTTTGGATGGAGCTGGGAGGACCTCAAACAATCGAAGGCACAGCCGGGCAGGAGCTCACCATTCTGCAGCCGTGAATAGAAGGAAGAAGCTGAATGTCAGGAAGCGTGCTGTAACAATGCACGCTGTGAGGCTGCACCGAGGCTCCCGAGGGATGCACCGGGCTGCAGGACGGATGCTGGGCGATACCATCACGTGCATACGGACAGCAATCCTTCAGCACTGCAGCACGGTTTGCAATAGGCAGGGAGCGGAGCGCTGCTATTGCTAGCAACGTCCTCACACGGTGCTTTTTGATGCAGGGCTTTGTAGGGGTTGTTCCATACGGGGAGGCTGCGGATTGCCGTGCTGCACAGGCTGTCGACCCCGAGAGGAAGCCTTCTCTGCGCATTTCCTTAAGGAGTTTCTATCAATCCCGGTCCTGCTCCCTCTAGAGGGCTGCTGCTGCCCTCGTAATCCCGTGGCACAGTGATCTCCCGTCGCATCTTTGGGATCCCACTCTGTGCGCAGTGGTACTTCGGTGCTACAGGACTTTGGTGCTACGGGACAATTTGGGCTGTGCTGCAAAGGGGGG